TATCCAACTAACTAAATTAGATAATCTAATTTTAAAATATATAATTATCTAATTAAAATCGGTGGGGTTCTAGTTTGGTGACACTAGCGGTGTCACTTTCATTTTGAAGTGTTTTCGATGCTCCGTTCGCAAAATTGACGGTTTCTACCTCCCCTAACCCACCCCTAAACCCCCACCCTACCCCCGCCCCTGCACCCCCACCCCAACTGTATTCTGTCCTTGCCTCTCCGTCCGTAATAAAACTGCTCCCCTTCTTCCTGTGGATGTAGCCAACTTAACGTTGGTGAACAACGTTAAATCTGTTGTCGTGTTGATACGAATAATGTATCGGATAGGGAAGAACTTCGAGCGTTCTTCAAGCTCCAAGAAGAAGAGGTAAAGAAAGGTGGAAACATTCGAGCGTTTCCGAGCTCCAGAGGAAAGAGAACGAGATTAAGATAATTCTTGATTATTGATTGATTAAATAATAATAACGAAAGATTACAATATATAAAGACGCAGAAAACCCTAATTGATCTAATGGGCTCGAGCTCATACTAAATCCTAAACCATCAATAAATAATAATAATAATACTCCGTACTAAATAATAATACTCCGTATAACTTATTAAAATATTATACTCCGTAATTAACTATCCATATCACATGTTTTTGTGTTTCTATTTGTTATGCATAAGAAAAGTGATGTGAAATAATTTATTCATGACTTTAATTTTCAGTCCGCTTGACACTAATTGAGTGGAGGGGCGTCGATGCCCAAAGGGCAAAGGTACCGTAGCAATGCCCAAAAAATTACCGCAAAAAAACTACACCGTAAAAACATGCAAAATTAACGAACTAATCAACCTCAAAACCTGGGTTGCCTCTGCCTCGCATCAATGAAAAGTGAAAAATAAAAAAAAACTCATAAAAACCTTAATTTTCTCTTCCACAAATTCGAGAAAAAGCAGTTTCCCCTGCGCCACTATATCTGCTACATAAATCCCTCTCTGCATTATTAATCAATAAATGCGAATTCATTTATAAATTAATATATTAATATTAATAATAACATTTCTATTAAAGATCCGAAGCTGATTAACAAAATAAGCTGACAAATGGCGAGCATGGGATTAACGGCAAGTCTGTCGAAACTGCAAATGTGCAGAGCCACCGTGAGGGTAGGCGGCAGCCGGAGGGCGGTGGCCGGAAGACGGCCATCGTCATTTCCTGTCGCTCCTCCCAGTTACAACAAGCGCTACTACGGAAGCAAATCCGGCGCTTACGACGAGGCAAAGTCCGCCGCGTCGAAAGGAGCCGACGCCGCCAACAAAGTCGCCCACCAAATCAAACACGACGCTTCCTCCGCCGCGGATGAGGTCAGTATTGTAACCCCTACGTTCCGTTTTTTAAAAGTGTTCCTATTTTGACTTTGTGTAAAAATAAGAAAGTGTTAAATTGTAGTTGACTTCCAATTTTGCTCTTGATGTGATGGGTAAAAGTAAGATATGATGGATTGAGTATTAGAGAAAAAGTATAATGTGATAGGTAGGGTATGAAAAAGTAAGGGTAAAAGTGGTTTTTTAATAGAAAGTGGAAGTGTTTTGTTGGAAGTAAAAAAAATGAAAGAGGAAGAGTTTTTGAGAACGGAAGGAGTAGGATAAAGGAGTGCACTGAGACTTTGATAGTTCACACTAGTACAAAATGTCACAAAACCTCAGTGTCCCTGGGACCGCACTAGCATTTTGTTTCAGGGTTAACCATCAATCAAAGTGTCATTTAAGGATGTGTTTGGCATTTTGTTGTTGAAAATATATAGGGCGTGCACAAGGCAAAAGCAATGGGGGAGAAGTTGTCGGAGGCGGCGAACGATCTGGCCGGAAAGGCAAAACAGACGGCGCAAGATGCGTGGGATGCCGTTAAGGACACAACCCACAAGATCAAAGACGACGTCGGGAACAAGGCCGATGAAACCAAAGACGCCGTTCGCAAACATACCAACTAGCGCCCCAGCCCGTTTTCGATTCTAAATAAGTGTCGATTATAGCTTTTAAATACATTAATGTTGAAATGATCATAGACATAACGTCTGCATGTCTATATTTATTCAACTTGTAATGTATGTAAAAAAAATTATAATAGACCATTATTTTAAAATGTAGAAAGTATCTCATAATCCTAATGAGATAATAATACTATAAATGAAGCTTTCCCAAATTAGGAAAAGTGGGACATGGAGAGAAATATTTGTTTTAGATTATTATTTTTTGGGTCCATCTCAAATAATGTATGCCTCCTTATTTAAGTATTGTAAAAAATTTTTGTTTTATAATTATTTAAATCATTATTCTAAAAGATTCCAAACACCCTCTCCATGGATGAAGGAAATTTTAGGAAACTATGTTGTCGTTTCGCTCATATTGATTCAGTTCAATCGATCCGACTAGTTTAACCCTTGATTTAGTTTCTTGTCAAGTTTGACGTTCCATTTAAGTATTGTTTTTAGGTGCATTGTGGAAACACTTCTATTGAGAAATCCGTGCAAAGCTTTGAAAGGGTGTAAAAAACTTATGTTACTTCTAATCCGGTCAAGTAGATTATTAGATTGTAATCTAGTCCTTTTTTTTTAAAAGCTCCCAAACCAATCAGTAGTATCAGATCATTCTTTTGGTAGTATATAAATTAATTAATTCATTTTACCAAAGAAATTCATTTACTTTTCTACCGAAATTCATTTGACCAAAGAAATGGCACTTAATTCTAATGTTGCCAAAAATTCGGTTGTCATAAATCAAATTCAAGTATTAGTGCTTTAGCACTAGCTAATTAAGAGCTAAATTATGGGCCATGGCCTTTTTCCCATTAATTAAGGGATTGAAATTGAGATATTAATGTTGGAGGGGATTTGATGGTTAATGAATGTGTTTCCCCCATGCTAAGCACATTTGTTCTTGTCTTTATGTCTCATTCCTCTTTAGTTGGGCCCATCTCAAGCCTTACGGTCATGATGGAAGCTAGACTAGACTCGCGACATGGACTCAGTCCACCCGGCCCAAGACCCAAAGTTTGACTACTTACTCCGTCCTAAATTAATCCTTCAATTACTATTCTCACTATTTATAAATTTAAATTTTTATTAAATTAAATTTTTTTCAAATTTTGTTTTATACAACTTTTGATATAATTAACATATTTTATTCAAACATGAAAATGAGTGTTTTCCTTTTTTGATTCTCCCTTCATCCCCAGAAAAATGACTTTCTCTATCATTCCAGACTTTATACGTATTTTCATTAATTATTTAATAAAATAAAATTATCATGCCATCACTTAGTATATTGATCTTACATCTAATGTTGATACACAACGTTACCACCTCTCTTAGATTTCCTACACTGCTCACGTTGTTTGAAAAGGAACAAATAATTTAGGACAAAAGGAGTATAAAAATACTACACCTATCCCAGTTTGACTTCAATTATATATTTTTTAATCCTATTGACTCGATTACAATGTAGTATCTATTCACAGTTTTATTAATCTGATGACAACACAAAAACTCAGATCAATGCCCCTGCCTTCGCTGGGGTTCGAACTAACACGGGTGAACTTTCCCATAAATATATTAAATAAAAAGTACATTGCATAATTCTCCGTAATATAACACAAGTTATGTGGTAAAATTATACGGAGTCAACATTTTTTTCATGGTAAATTTAATGAATTCATTGTCGTATTATGAAGTACATACTCCCTCTGTTCATTAAAACAATTCATGTTCTGATCCTAACATTTGTTAAATTTATTTTTTGTAATTTGACTTCTAATTAAATCATTATCGTCAAAAGAAAAGAAAAGACAAATCACTTAAATTACTTATTATATCAAGGTAAAATGGATGGAGTACATTGCAATAATGATGTTATTTGAACATACTAGTCATTTTAGTTAAAAAATGAAGTGTTTTAGAGAAAAAAAAATAAAAGAGAAAGAATTATAGTGAACGGAAGGAATATATAATTAACATCACCTCCGTTCTAAGAAAAGTGTCATTTTTTAAATTATAGAGTCAAACCTTAAGTTTTTTATTTAATTATTTTCATCGATACCTTTGTAATTGAGAGGGCATAACCCTCCATTTACTAAATGACATATGTACTTCTATAGCCACGTTATATTGTTTTACCAAATGATCACTGAAAACACATAATAAAAGAATAGTTATTAACGTGCCGAAATAGTAATTGGGATTTTAGTTTCGGGTGGAATCGCCCACCCCAGGCGCCCCCACCCCCTTGCCCGACAGGAATGGTGGAGGATGTAAATCATGGTGACTTAGTTTCGGGATGAAGGGAGTATAATAAAGTAATTTACTTTCCATATTTACCCCTAATAGTATACTCGTTGAGAGTGCATATTGGTGGAGTGATTTTTTGAGTATATTACGGATAAATAAGTATTTATCCAATTAGAATTTGGTTCAGTTGAATCAGTTCTATCGACCCAACTCGATAGGGGCAAAAACGTACAATCACCGTCGCTTAGGGACGTGACACGTGTACGCTCTTGATTTGATGTAACCCCACTCCAAACGGCTCTCCGCTGCTTTCTGTCTCCCACTATCCCTTCTCCTTTTTTATTTTCTTCATTTCCTTCTTGGCTGGTTCCATCAATGGAGTTTCTGAACCTCTTCTTCTGCTTCTCCATTGTCTTCCTTTCGAGCTCGTCCATGTCCGCCGCGCCTCCTCCGGCTTCAGATGCGGAGATTCTTCTCCAGAAAATCAGACCCGCGCTGCAGGGAGAGGCGCAGAACTTGATGCTGTCTTCATGGAACGCCTCGATCCCTCTCTGTCAATGGAGAGGCCTCAAGTGGGCTTTTGAGAACGGGAGCTCTCTGCTCTGCGAACCCATGTCTTCTCCGCAATGGGTCAGTCTCTCTCTCCGCAGCGACCCTTCTCTCCGCCTCGTCTCCCTCCAGCTCCCTTCCGCGAATCTCTCCGGAACCCTCCCGGGAGAGATTTCCGAGCTCCAGGCGCTCCGCGGTCTCTATCTCGGCGTCAATTCCCTCTCCGGAGCCGTCCCTCTGGAGCTCGGCTACGCCCCTTCTCTCTCCGATCTCGAATTGAGTGGCAACTCCCTCGCCGGACCTCTCCCGGCGTCCATCTGGAACCTCTGCGACCGTCTCGTTTCGCTTCGTCTTCACGGTAACTCCCTCTCCGGCTCTCTCCCCCGCCCCGAACTGCCCAACGTCACCTGCGAGCACTTGCAGGCTCTCGATTTAGGTCAAAATTCGTTTTCCGGCGATTTCCCGGAATTCCTAACCGCCTTCGCCGCGCTCAAAGAGCTCGACCTAGCTAATAACAACTTCTCCGGGCAAATCCCCCCCGGATTGAGTGAGATGAAACTCGAGAAACTGAATCTCTCGCACAACAATTTCAGTGGGGTTTTGCCCAATTTCGACCCGAAGAAATTCGGGGCAGAGGTTTTCCAGAAGAACAGCCCGGACCTCTGCGGGCAGCCTCTGAAGCCCTGTCTCGGACACACAGGGCTGGCCCCAGGGGCTATAGCTGGGATTGTGATCGGATTAATGGCCGGATTTGTGGTCATAGTATCTTTGCTGATAGGGCATTTCCAAGGGAGGAAGAAGAAAAGAAACACCGACGAAGATGAAGAAGATGATGAAGAAGAAGACAGAGGAGAAAACAAAGATTTTGATGGAAATGGGGCAGAGGGGAAGCTGATAGTGTTCCAAGGTGGGGAGCATTTGACACTGGACGATGTTCTGAACGCGACAGGGCAGGTGATGGAGAAGAGCAGCTATGGAACCGTGTACAAGGCGAAGTTGGCCGATGGTGGGAACATCGTGCTGAGGCTGTTGAGGGAAGGGAGTTGTCTTGAGAGACATTGCAGTTTCCCGGCGATCAAGAAGCTTGGGAGGGTTCGCCACGAGAGTCTTGTCCCATTAAGAGCTTTCTATCAGGGGAAGAAAGGGGAGAAGCTTCTCATCTATGATTATTTCCCTTGCAGAACCCTCTTTAGTCTCTTACATGGTAAGCTCCCTTTACTCCCAATAACACTTTCTTGCATAATCATAAATTCTTGCTGTTCTTGATGGAACTCAAGCATCATTTTTGTAAGGAAACTAAGTATGGGTTGAAATTGTGAAGAAAAAAAAGTGATTAACACATGGCAATTGGCATTGGTTGCTAGCTTGATCACTCAACATTCTATTTCTGTTTAATGCAAACTAGTTACACAATAGAGATACAACTCTTGATGAGCATTTGGGCTATTTCATTGACCGGAGAGCACAATTTTCACTCTTTTTTTCAAGTTTTCTAGTACTTTTTTAAGGCTTTGTTTGGCTTATTTTGTTTGTTCTGGCTAACACCAGGATAAGTGGTTTTTGACTCACTTGCCTGTAATCTACTACACATTGTTTTACCAAACGGTTCAACATTTTCAACTTCGCCCAAACTCTGCCATTTACTCAAAATAACATTCTCCCAAAACAGCCCTAAGTTGTTTGACACCTCACATTTTGCATACCTTGCCAAACTCTACTTGCCTTTTTTGTTGTTGTTGCATGTATATATGTAAGAAGTGTGTGATAGGGTTTGCATATACATAATCTTTGCTGTTGATATACAGAAGCAAAGGTGGGGAAGCCAGTGTTGAACTGGGCAAGGAGGCACAAAATTGCCCTTTGTGTAGCAAGAGGACTAGAGCATCTTCATTCTTTAGAAACACCCATCACCCATGGAAACATCAGGTCCCAAAATGTCCTGGTGGACGACTTTTTCGTAGCCAGGCTCACGGAAGTCGGGCTTGACAAGATCATGATCCCATCCATTTCAGAACAGACACTCTCCCTCTCAAAAGCCGACGGGTACAAGGCACCCGAACTTCAAAAGATGAAGCATTGCAACTCGAGGACCGACGTCTATGCATTTGGGATACTCTTGTTGGAGATGTTATTGGGGAAGAAGCCGGGGAAGAGTGTGGAAATGACCGATTTGCCCTCGCTGGTGAAAGGCGCGGTTTTGGAGGAGAGGACGATGGAGGTTTTCGACGCGGAGGTGTTGAAGGGGGCGAGGAGTCCAATGGAGGAAGGGCTGGTGCAGGCATTGAAGCTGGCCATGGGGTGTTGTTCCCCGGTGGCCACGGTTCGGCCTTGTATGGAAGAAGTTGTGAGGCAACTGGAAGAGAATAGGCCTAGGAACCGGTCGGCTTTGTATAGTCCTGCCGAGACAAGGAGCGAGAGTGGTACTCCTATATGACATTATTTATATATGACCCTTTTATTATCTCTTTTTGATATTATTGATTTTGAATTAGAGTGTATGATTTTTTTAGGCAAACCGGTGATCCTTCCTTCTCCCAAAGGAGAGATAATTAATTTCATCTCAACTTTTCCCTAGCTCTCTCAAGTAGAATTAATTTCATCTCAACATTTATTGTGTCATGGTGATAAGAGACATTTTTTTGTTTCTAATGGATAATCTAAGAATCTTTTATTTACCCTGTAAAAAAAGAAGAGCCCCATCCCAGAAGGCTCCTTCAGATTTGTTACACATGATACTTGCAGAGGTTCTATGTTTAGCTTAGTTTTCCTCCATCGCAATTGACAAGAATTGAACTCGAGTCTATCCCTTGACACTCCCTTCTTTTAAATTAAATAACAAAAAAGCTAGAAACCCTCCACGGATGTTCTCATAGATAACAATAACAGATGACTCATACAAACAAACGGACAATAATCGTCTATGAAAATAGATAATTATTGTCTATGTATGCATAAAATCACATGTAATTATCATGCGTAGAGGCAACCGTGGTGGGTTCCTAACTTGATTTATCAAATAACTGTTTAGGAATCAAATGAACGGGATGTAATTTTTGTCCAAATGTACATAGAAAATCATAATAGAATGTTATTTAAAAACAACGGGAATACCATATTTTCCAAATAACACTTCATCTGTCTGGATGTGTTATGTTTGTCCACTTTTTTTTGTCGTCTCAATATTTTTGTTCGCTTTCTTTATTTGACAAATTCTTTATATATAAATTTGAGACTCGTAATTGTAAAAGCATGAGCCAGTGTGCGTGACGGGTGAGGATTGACCTTACCTACAGTAATAGTATCAGTACCAGTATATGCATGAGGAGATTGATGCTACTAATAATTATACATAACATGTGTTGGTGCCGGTGTCTAGGTACCAATCTCCAGATTGATTGCTTGTAGATGCATGCATCACACGGGGCACTGGTTGAAGATTTCACAATATAAGAGTCATCGAAATGGTACCAACATGGTGCGATCGAATGTCCTCTTTTATCACAAATATGATATGTAGGAACATCCCGTGATGGTTGACCATTTCCTGGGGACGGTCGACTATTGTTTTGATCGCCTCGAGAATTGTTGTAGCTGCGACCAGAGACGGTGACCGCGATAGCCTCCTTGCCGCGTCCTCGAGTGTCTTTAGCAAGAAGGGCATTATGCGGCTCTTCATAGGAATAATCAGCTAAATTCAGCTTTTGCTCCATCTCAATGTTAATTTCCTCTAGATAGAGTAAGCCACCTAGAAAGGTGATTCAGAGTGATGTCGGCATGTCGCTGTTTTGCAAACTAGAATTTGTTAGAATGAAAAATATTCGGCAAGGAGACAACAAATAACATCATTGACGGCATCTCGCTCAAGAATATGTTCACGTAAAGCTTCAAGATCAGCAAGAATTGTAGCGACTTCATCAAGGTACTAAGAATGGATTTGGTACCTTTGCGCGAAGTTGATAAATATGGGCAGTGGAAACAGAGTTATACCTCTTGTTGCTAATGCGTCCCACAAGGAGGGAGAAGTGGCGAAGCCACGGGCATGTTTATGGACGGCAGGGCTGATGGTGGCGAGAAGACATGCCCGGATCTGAGTAACAATGATTGTCCAAGTAGGATTTGGAGTAACAACCCCGTGTTTTAGGATAGTCTTAGATGGAGTTTTCTCGGACCCATCCATCAGTTAGTATTAGAAACTAATTTCGTTTAGGTTGTGCATCGCACGGGGTAAAATGACAAAGCAAATTGGAACAACAAGCTGATTAAGTATATATATCTCATTACATCATCATGTCATGTCTCAAGTATAATAAGGATAACACAAAAAGAGGAAGAAAAAAAGAGTAGGTCTTAACTACGTAGTATTGCAACGATATCGAGAAATGAAACAACAATCCGGTAGTATTACAACGGTATCGAGAAATTAAACAACAAACGTAGTACGTGCCCAGTTGAGCTAGAGCGAGGCACGGCGATCAATCGAGCCGGAGTTTAAGTAAGTAATTAACAGGGATTTCCCGGGGCACAGCTAAGAGCACCGGCATTAGCGGTCATGATACCCACCTGTCGGCATGACCTTGCCCCCAAACTAGACGCCCTTGCATAGGTACTGGTCGCTTGGTTCCCCGTGGTGGGGAAGTATGCCCCATTGAGCATCAGGTCCCCTTCTGATCTCCAGTCCCACTTCCTCCACTCACTCTCTGGTGCATCGTTCTCCTTTGTCACCTGCATATATATATGTGTGTGCGCGCGCGCACATTATCATTCATAATATATACTCCTATACATCTATACTCTGCATATTTTTTTATATTAAGAATAATATAAGGGGTATAAAAGATTTGGTTTGGTTGTGCTAGTTCATTTCAGAGCCTCTTCTTTAGGACTTGGTTGATAAAATACTATAATCATGTCACTTCTGGTTTTTATACTTCCTCCGTTCCTTTAAACCCTTCCACTTTTGACTTTTGGCAAAAATAAAGAAAGTGTAATTTTGGTTGACTTTCCAATTTTGCCCTTGATGTGATGGGTAAAAGTAAGATTTGATAGTTTGGTTATTAGGGAAAAAGTTTGATGTGATAGGTAGGGTATGAAAAAGTAAGGGTAAAAGTGGTTCTTTAATAGAAAGTGGAAGTGTTTTAGGGAATTCAAAAAAAACGAAAGGGGAAGAGTTTTGTGGAACGGAGTGAGTAGATTTTTTCATATATATACTTTTTAAATAGGTGAATTTACCTAAATAGCACTAAAACATAATGACTTTCTCCGAGTAATTTTTTATTTTTTAATTCTATACAATTTTTAAGATTATTGTTGGTTGGTTGGAGGGAGGGAGGGAGGGAGGGAGTACCTTTTTGAAAAAACGGGCGTCAGGGGCAGTGAACCTGTTGCCCTGGGAGTTGATAGTGGGACTGGCACTGCCGCCGATGGCATACATATGCCAATGGGTATAGTCATTGTTGACGACATGGAAGTAGCCATGCCTGCACCTTGGCATTCTCTGCACCAGATCTTCTCCGAAGTGGTTGAAGGCTATGGTCACCTGCATGTCCCTGTCTGCGAGATAATCATCGCTGTGCCCCAGCAGCATCACCTCGTTGTGCTTGGTGAAGTAGTTGTTGGAGACGGTGATGGCGGTGGACGCCTCCACCGCGTCCACCAGTCCGTCTTTGCAGCTGGAGAGCCAGTTGTGGTCGATCCAGATGTGGCTCGACGAGAAAATGGAGATGGCGTCCCCGTCCGATAGCCCCCGGAAGCCGTAATGACTCGATGAGCTGCGGATGTTGGTGTTGCCCCCGGGCATGCAGTCGTGGATGGACACGCCGTGGATGATGATGTTGGTGACGTCTTGGATCGTGACGCAGCCCTTCCCGGTGATGTGGGTGTCGCCGCCACGGCCGTCGATGGTCTTGAAGCTGGTCATGATCAGCTCCCCCTTCAGGGTTACTGTCATGCCCTCCTTGAACACGATCCACGTCGGACCGTCTTCGAGGACGGCGTGCCGTAGGGTCCCCGGCTTCGGGTTCACTAGATCGTCGTCCGTGTTGTCTGTCACCACGTATATGCTCCCGTCCTTGCCTCCCTTTGCATCTTTCCCGAAGCCGATGGCACAGTCGGCCAGCCGGAAGCGGTTGTCCGCCCAGTTGGAATCCCCGCGCCAGCAGTCGTCGATCGGGTTCCCTGTTCCTGCCCCTCCCAATTTCCTCCTCCCAGTAGCATTTCGGATGCTCCTGGCCCGAGCAGAATTAAAAAGTCAACCACGGATATATAATTTCTTGTTTTGGTCTAAAATCAAAATAAAAGTAGTTTTAGTTGAGGGAGGGAGGAGTACATGATAGAATTTAGGATGGGTATGGACAATTGGATTGGGCAATAAGACACTTGGGTTGAACCACATTAAAAGATTGAATCCAATCGATTAGTTAGTCCAACTCAAGAGCTTATATACCGGTTATTTTACTCTTGAATTTCCGATGTGGGATGCACTCTAACAGTACATATTGTAAATCTAATAGGTAGTGTGATATGATTATACTCCCTCGTCCGTCCCATAACTAAATGCGTGTGCCGTTACTATTTCGTCATTTCGATAACTTGACAAAGTTTTTAAATACTACTCCCTCCGTTTGAGAAAACTTTTCCCATTTTGCCAAAAGCAAAAATAAGAAAGTGTTAAATTCTAGATAAAAAAATATGACGTGATAAGTAGGGTAAGAAAAAGTAGTGTGTAAAAGTGGGTTTTTAATAAAAAAAATAATTGAAGTGTTTTTGTGGAAGAACAAAATATGTATGCAAGTATTTTTTTTTTAGTTTCAGTATTAATTTTTAAATGGCTATTATGATTTTAAAGAGAGTATGATTTGCCTCAAGAGGTAGCTAGAGGTCACTCTCTTAAGCACACCTCTCGGCCAGGAACAACCAAGCTTGTCTTTAGTCTCAAGAGAGGGCACGAAATGCGTCTTTAAATTAATATTATTATTTTATCAAATGATCGACAAAATACATACTCCTTTGGTCAATACTGAGACAAAGAAAGTATGTTAATATATACGATGATTATTTACTCACTGGTGAACCATTTCTACAATCGTCTCCGGATCGTCCACGGCATGCGGGTGCCTGCGGGGCGTGTCCTCCCCCGCCATTAACGACTCGTTCTTTGAGCTCCGAAATCTCGCAGCATCGGCGCTGCAAAAAAAAAAAGAAACTCATTGTGGATTAATTATATGTATGTATGTATATGAATGAATGAATGAATATTTAAAAATATTTACATGTGGTTGAAATGGAGAGTCAAAAGCACTAGTAGTAGTAGAGCCAGCAAGGAAGAAGAGAGAACACCGGGTGATTTAGTTGCAGAGGCGGCCGCCATTGTATTATTATTGTATGGATGGTTAAGCAGGGGTTGATCAAAGCATTCTATTTATAATGGTAAGAACTAAGAAGTCCTATATATGATATTTGGGACTTTGGGTTCATCACTAAGAATCATTTGTCAAAAATATTCGTTTAGATTGACTTTTTCGAATCAAATTCGATGATGAAATTTATCAATTTTCAGTTTGTAAATTAT